TAAGGGGGTCTGAATACTTTCCGTACCCACTGTATATATATATATATATATACACACTATTATTAATAATATAATTTTAGTAACATAATATAGTTTTTCACATAATGTCGGAATGCAATTTTGCAATATTTAGCATTTTTCATGACACACACACACACATATATATATATATATATATATATATATACAGTATATATATACACTTTCTTACTTGTAAATGCTTTATATATGCTTTCTTATAGTATTAGTAATAATATGCTTTTATAGTAAAGAGAATTTGGGATGTTTTGGGTTAAAAATAGGCTTCATGTATTCATTAATATTAATTATTTTATCATATTAATTAATACTGCAGCATAGAATTTCTTATTTTTGATTCTTTTGTTTAGGCATGAATTATGACATTAGCATGTTGACAGATTGTTTTTTAATTCACTGTGTAACATCAAATACATTCATGTGATTAATACATATACTGTACGGATGTAGGCTAAGTAACAATCTGCTCTGCTTGTAGCATTACACATATGTTTTGACATTGTCTGTAATGTGCAGTGACATGTAACCATATGTAAGAGATGCATTTAGACGGGTGTCACAGATCCATAGCTTTCCTCCACGGTCCAGGTGATCCCATTCTTACTGTAGAAATCAGAACGAATGTGAGCAACACGAGCAAAGCTCCTCCCTGAGTCGTACTGCAGTGATGAAAACCGGCCATACACAGAAGAGGGCAGAACAGGTGCTGGTCTAGATGATTCCTAAGATGGGAGGTTGAGACGTATTGGGATCCTCTAGAGAGCATTGTTAAAAAAAGAACAACACAGAATGCATGGACTGCCGAGCTGACATGGATGGATCTCTGGAGTTTTGGGAAAAAGCGCACCTCACTGAAGATGTCCAGGCCCCGGGATTTGGCGTGTTTTCTGTCATCACGGTGGAGTTTGTTATCATAGCCCTCAGTGCTCTGATGTAAACAGTCATACAGAGACCTCTCTGGGGCCTATACGAGAAAAATGGACAAATTTGGTTTTAGAAAATGTTATTTTGAAAATATGTACTTGGTCCAATGATATCAGGAGGTATTTTGATCTACAGTGTATCCAAAGGATATTTAGACGTAAAAAATATATGAATGCCAAATGTACATTTGTTTGCAAATGCCACTAGTATTGATATTTTATATCTAATGCAAAATCCATTTGATGTTGTTGCTTTTTTTAAAGACCCCCTGTGGTGAAAATCACGTTTTTAACATTGTTTACATGTCTTGTTTACATTATTTTACCATTACAGACCTGTGACCAATCCTGTCAAGTTGGCACTTGACAGGTTTGGGCCCCTGGACGGGGCTTTTCATAGCATTAGCATATTATTGGAACATGGTTTGTGTAATATATTCAATACATTATTAGCTGTTTAATAACGTATTAAAGTCAGAGGCTAACCATATCAATTACCACTGCATGTCTGATTATGTAGATGTATGTTATATATGGAGCAATACATAAAATACATTACCATTCTTGTAATGTGACAACCATGTATGAATTCGCTCTTTCTCTACTTCATAGAAATTAGTTTCTGCTTCAAACATATATGGCTGTATTAATCTTAAATTGCCACTTGTCCTTGTGAAGCTATTAATCGAGTGAAGGTGGAGCAGGTCCGAGCTCGTGTGATGAATTTGAATATTCATGGTCCCGCGTATAGTAAATGAGGTAAGGATGTAGAGTTATATTCAAGCCATTTTAAGGCATGAAGAAACTCTTTTTCACTAGAAACAATGTAATTTTGATTATCAAAGATGAGTTGCAAGTGATCAACGTAGTGGCTGCAGGAAGACTTGAATGAGCAGCGCCTCTTACCTTAGGGCTGCAATTGAAATACCGCATTTCTTTGGGCTCTGTCCTTCGGGGCGGTATAAAGCTGAATACTGACAGCGTGGAAAGCGGTTTAGACTTCGTTTCGGATAATACGTCCATTACATTACAGCCGTTGCACTTTTATCGCTGGAAAGCTCGAGTATTTCCACAGACAGTGACAGCTCAGCGTCTGCGGTTGCTAGGAAACTTCTGGAAAACTCCTTCCGGTGTTTATACCACTGCAAGCGAGAAATAAAAGGTGCTACTTAGAGCCCGATAAAAAATAAAATAAAATAAAATTTAAAAATGTAAAAACAAAACGGAACTGTCATTATTTAAAAGCGTTTTAGAGCTAAATTTGCTATATTATTTATTACTGTTTCATTGTTTTATTTGACTACATTTTAAAAATGCAGGCTACTCAAACTAAAAATGCAGGCTACTAAAAC